GGGCAGAACCAGCTCAAAGCCCTTCTTCCAACCAAGACTGCCCTTAGCTGCTACTGCCACTGGGCCCCTCCACTTGGGCCTGGGCTTTGCGCTGCTCAGGCAAGTGTTACAACTCTTTAGCTTAGCCAGTAAGTGCCTGGAGGCATCCCACTCCACCAGCAAACCCCTTGTCCAAAGGTGTTCAGCTTTTTTGTTCCATGAGTTGGCAAGCCTAGCTCCGCTGAGAAGTGTGTGGAGACTCCCCACACTGCCCAAAGGCACCAAGCTCTTTCGCTCCATGGGTCAGGAAGCTCACTGCAACTGTGTTGCTCCACTGCCCCTAGTGCCACTGCGCCACCTTTTGCAGTCTCACTGTCACCAGTGTTACAACTCTGTCTCCTGAGTCTAGCAGGCTGTTAGTGCTCGGACCCTGGGTCTAAAGGACACACTCCACTCCCGACTTTTCTTCTTGATGGTAGTGAGGCCCCTCTTAACCTCTGTGGAATTGACTGAAGCCTAGCGGGATGACAAAACTGACCAATCCTCTTGGTAGGCCACAGCCACCTAGATTGCATAGTAATTGACCAATCCCTGCAGGGGTTTTACACACCTTATTTGCATAGTAGACTAAGCAATCCCTTTGGAAGATTGTGGCCTAGCAAATCATCTTAGCAGAACTACAAACCCTGAACCAGAAAGACCATATATAAAGAGAAACCCACTGCCCTGCAGACTTCTAAATAGGATTGGCTTTGCCTAGCTAGTCTGAGTCAATTCCTAGGAAACCAAACAGAGCAGGCAATGGAGAGCCTACACAAGTACTGGGGGAAATGAGGTGTCAGAAGTCCATAAAAGCTATGTAGAACTGTAGAGAAAGTATGTATGGTTAGGTTTCTGAGCAAATCATACTGAGACTTGGGACCTAGGCTAATAGACAAGCCTTGGAAGTTAAACTATGACTAAACAGAAATTGAGAACTCTGGAGAATTTTACTTTCCAGAAGGTATGTGTTTACAATTGGGGTGGGTGATGGTGGATAAGACCTAGAGACATATCCCTAGATTTTAAAACTCAGAGATGATAGTCTTATCTTTCTCCTAGAGACATATGTTTACATTCCAAAGGGTAGGAACCCAGATTCTTTCTCAAGGAGAGCTTGTTTATACTCAGGGATACGTTCCCCTGCCTCTCCACAGGGAAGGAGATCTGCTGTGCAAGCCATTCTATATAACTTCCCAGATTCTTATTTTCGAGGTTTCTTGCTGTATTAGTTTCCTATTGCTGCTGTAACAGGCTTAAACTAACATAAATTCATTATCTTGCTTTTCTGGATGTCAAAAGTCTGAAATGAGTTTCACTGGGCTAAAATCAAGTTGTCAGCAGGGCTGGGTGCCTTCCAGAAGCTCTAGGGGTGAATCCATCCCCTTGCCTTTTTCAGCTTCCAGAAACCACCTGCATTCCTTGACTTGTGGCCCCTTCTTCCATCTTCAAAGCCAGAAGTGCAGCATCTTCCAGTCTGTCTCTGACTCTGGCCCTCTTGCCTCCCATTTATAAGGACTCTTGTGATTACATTGGGCCCACTACGATAAACCAGGATAATCCTCCCATCTCATGATCCTTAATCGCATCTGCAAAGTCCCTTTTGCCACATCAGGTAACATATTCACAGGTTCCAGGGACTAGGAAGTAGGCATCTTTGGGAGGCCATTATTTTGCCTACCACGTTTGCCTATAGCGCAGACCCCAGTACAGGTAGGGTGACATCTGATAATGGCTCTGATTGTATCGCCCCAGTTGGAAGAATTGTGGTATGAGGAACTGGCATGGTTATTATAAGTAGGTAATAGTAATTCATCTATCCCTGCTCCAGAGACTCATGTCTACTCCCAGCAAAATTCAAATAAATGCAGATGTTAAAAACCTACCAGGCTGGTTTTGAAACGCTTATACTAATGAGCTCTCTGCAGTCTTGAATGGTAAGAACAGGAGAGACATCCAGAGTTGTTGTTCTAACCAGTGTCTGGGACTTGCTACTGCCTTAGACTGAACCTCTCATTTAACCTTTTTCTCGTAAGGATTTTCCATCTTGGCTAACTCATTCAAATGGAAGAGCCCATACTAGTTCCTTTTGGTCAGTTTCTTTTGTCAGAGCCATGTGTTCTAAGCTGAAACTATCCTAAATACAATACAAGTGTGACCGAATTTAGGATTTACCTCAGCTCTCTTCTCACTGCTTTTGTGGACTTGGACATAGGAATCCTAATGATCTCTGAGCTCTCCACAGTAAATGCAGCCACTCATCTTCAGAGAGTGTGTTTCTGACTTGCGTGCCCATTTCATAGTGTATTTGTGTGTTTTCTAGTATAGGTTGATCATATGTAGCAGGTGTTTCTCAACCCATTCCCAGTATCCTATATAGCCACTGAATTGGCTCAGCTCACTATGAGTCGGAATCGACTTGACTGCAAGGGTTTTTTTTTTTTTTTTTAATTAGTCCTGTGACCCTAGTTCATAATATATTAGCTGCTAAGCACAGCCTTCAGATCTGGGTTTGGCAGTAATTAAGGTAGCTCACCTAGACCTATATTTGGTAAAGCCTACCACTATGGAATTAGATCTCGGTCTGCTAGAACTAGTCACAACTTACTCCCGTTAAAAGTATTGTACTACGCAATTATGTGCCTTCTTATGCCAAAGGCAAGCTGATTACCTTCCAACAGAGAAATTTTCTTAGATTTAAAATTTAATCTCAAGCTTATTCATTACTTACTTTCCTTATTTTAATTGTTACCATCCTTATATAAATACGTATGGAAGAGAAATAGGGCAGAACAGTAAACAGTGCGGGGAAATCAGTGGGTATAGAGTGTTCAATAATGTACCTTGAGGCGTTTATCTTATTGACATATTAGTCTGTATATTGTCTTTCTTTTCTATACCTTTCCTTCCCCTTCCCCTTGCTTTTCTCTTTCTCTTTTTCCCCCTTCCATATCATTTTGCCTTCCCCTTCTTTCCTTTTTCCTTCCCTTCCCTTCTTTCATTGGCAAGTACTACAAAGATAGACAAGTTTGTTTTTCTTAGTATTATTGTTCTAGAAAGGATCCCTGGTGGCGCAATGGGTAAATGTTCCGCTGCTAACCAAAAGGTTTGTGGTTCAAACCCACCAACAGCTCCAAGGGAGAAAAAATCTTTTCCTGTAAAGATTGTTGTTGCTGTGTGCTATCTAGTCAATTCCAACTTATAGTGATCCTGTAGGGCAGAATAGAACTGCCTCATAGGGTTTCGTAGGCTGTAAATTATTATGGGAGTTTTTTTTAACTAAGAATAGGTGGTTCAACATATTGTGAACTAAATACTTCACTAGAAATTGGGTGGTCAGTTTAGAAATAGAACCGATCTTTTAAATTGGTTATCTTCTCTATATTCTTATTTCAAGATAGGAACAAAAAAAAAAACTGGTTTTCATCTCTATTTTCCTTTACCATTTTAGGACTTTTCTTTTTGGTAGAGATGGAAATCCGAATAAACGGAATGTGCACAATGAAACATCTATGCATTTGTTGTGTATGGGACCTCAAATTATGATATCTGAAGGAGCCCTTCATCCTCGCTTAGCACGCCCTGCTGAAGATGATTTCAGAAGAGCAGATTGTCTGCAGATGATCTTGAGATGGAAAGGAGCAAAACTTGACCAAGGGGAATATGAGAGAGCCGCTATTGATGCCGTTGATAACAAAAAAAACACACCCCTGCACTATGCTGCTGCCTCAGGGATGAAAACCTGTGTAGAGGTAAAACTTTTTTTTTGTTTTTTTTTTTAAATCATGGTAAAATGTGTGTCTTGGTAGTATGTAATAATCAGCAAGTTTGTTTTGCTTGTCTTAACACTTAATTTAACTAATCATTTTTCTCCCTTTTGTGGTTTTAAAAGAATCGGAACTCTTTTAAAATAAAGTAACTTGCTAGTTTTAGGGAAAGAAGGAAAAAACCCATAGCTACACAGTCAGCCTTGGGAATAAAATGGAATCAACACCAATTAAAAATTTGCTAACATCCCCTAAGATAAACCATCATCAATTAAGCACTATCATATTGAGAGTGATAGTTTTAGTAGAGATACATTCTACTGTTCTGATTTTTAATGGTTAATATATAAAATTTATACAGTTAGATATGGCAGATACTGAGAAGTAAAGCCTATATCTCTAGTATCTGAAGTTGATCAATTCCCTAAGCAGGGAACAAATATTAATGCATACATTTATTGGGGTGTAATTAAAAGCACTTGTAATCTTAAAATGTCATTTTTTTTTCTGTTTATTGTGCATTAAAGTGCTCCCTAGTACATACTATATTTAAATTTTTCCATACCTAGATATAAATATATTCTTTAGAATATCACGACTGTGCATACAACTGAACAAATTTTTCCTCAGCTATCAACATTCATGTCAAACCAGACGTAACTCATGTAAGCTTTTTTCATATAGGTATATTTCAGTATGCACGGGGACCATTATAGACTGGATCGCAGAATTTCTTCTGTTATTGGAAAAGCAATGATCTTAATCAGATTAAAAATAGATCTGAATGTTGTTCATTTATATGTATTTTTTATACACGTACACACAGATACACATTTATATATACATATACATATGTGTGTGTATATATATATACTTTATACTTCTAAATTGATAAATATATTTAAAAAAATGGCCTTTATTTTCCTACTCATATTAAAAGATACAGCAATTTATATGATTTCTTTGGTATATCTGAAGTGTTCTTTCCACTTCTAGGACCTTTATGATAGTGTCTTTAGTTCACTGTTATTTATGATATTTCTTAATCTTTTAGAATCTTTGTCATTTCATGTTTTGGGTTTGTGTCACCCTTGCCTACTAGTTAGTTAGTACCAGTAATTTACATGAAACTATGTTTTAAAGCTGTTCTTTCTAAAATCCTTGGACTTAGGGGTGGAGAAGTGGTAATAGCAGTGCCTGTCTATATATTGTTCCATGACCACCTCCTATGAAAGAATTCCTGCTGTAGTGACTCCCCATTACTAATAGGACTGTATCATATTTCTCAAGTGTGTTAGGGTGGAAAATAGCTTATTCTTGGTAGTAGTAATAATGTTCTTAAATTGCTGCTTTAATATCTTCCTTCCAAAAATTTTCTGTAAGCATTACTTTAGTAGTTGTCGATTTTGAAGTGTATTTGTAATGTCATACTTATTAAATTGTTTTTAAAAAAAAACTGAATGTGATGTTTTTACCAGCATTATCTTTTTCTGAGTGAGGAAACTTGTTATTAGTTGTTATTGTTAGGTGCTGTCGAGTCGGTTCCGACTCAATAGCGACCTTATGTACAACAAAATGAAACACTGCATGGTCCAGCACCATCCTTAAAATCATTGCTATATTTGTGCCCATTGTTGTACTGTGTCAGTCCATGTCATTGAGGGTCTTCCTCTTTTTTGCTGACCCTCTATTTTACCAAATATGATGTCCTTTTCCAGGGAGTGGTCCTTCTGATAACATGTCCGGAATATGTGAGACGGAGTCTCACCATCCTTGCTTCCAAGGAGCGTTTTGGCTGCACTTCTTCTAAGACAGGTTTATTCATTCATCTTGCAGTCCATGGTATATTTGGTATTCTTTGCCAACACCATAATTCAAAGGCAACAATTCTTCAGTCTTCCTTATTCATTGTCTATCTTTCACATGCATATGAGGCAATTGAAAACACCATGGCTCGGTCAGGTGCACCTTAGTCCTCAAAGTGACATCTTTGCTTTTTAACACTTCGAAGAGGTCTTTTGCAGCACATTTGCCCCATGCAATACATTGTTTGATTTCCTGGCCGCTGCTTCCATGGGCATTGATTGTGGATCCAAGTAAAATGAAATCCTTGACAACTTCAATATTTTCTCCGTTTATCATGAGTGTTGTTTATTGGTCCAGTTGTGAGGAATTTTGTTTTCTTTATGTTGAGGTGGAATCCATACTGAAGGCTGTAGTCTTTGATCTTCGTCAGTAAGTGCTTCAAGTCTCCTTCACTTCCAGCAAGGAAGGTTGTGTCATCTGCATATTGCAGGTTGTTAATGAGTCTTCCTCCAATCCTGATGCCCCGTTCTTCTTCATATAGTCCGGTTTCTTAGATTATTTCCTCAGCATACAGATTGAGTAGGTATGGTGAAAGGATACAACCCTGACGCACACCCTTCCCAGCTCTAAACCATGCAGTATCCCCCTGCTCTGTTCAAACGACTGCCTCTTGATCTACGTACAGGTTCCTTATGAGCACAATTAAGAGTTTTGGAATTCTCATTCTTCACAATATTATCCATAATTTGTTGTGATCCACACAGTTGAATGCCTTTGCATAGTAAATAAAACACAGGTAAACATCTTTCTGGTATTCTCTACTTTCAGCCAAGATCCATCTGACATCGGCAATGATACCCTCATTCCACATCCTCTTCTAAGGAGACTTAGTGCCAGGTTTATTCTGTGGTGCTGTGGGGCAGGCCTGATGATTTGCTTGTTGTGTATGTGTATATTTCAACTGTTTGATCCATCAGCATAAGCCATACCATTTGATGACTATTTTCATTTTTCTGTATTCAGAGGGACTCTTGACTTACATGTAACACATCCCAAATAGAGTCCTATAAATACCTTTGTTACATTCATTCTAATTTTCATCAAGAAATTTCAACATATTGTTTTACCTATATAAAGCTGTCTTTAATTTCTTATATATACTGTACAGTTGCCCAGCCTTAGGCCTTGAATGACTTTTGATAATGCTTACTGCTAGTTAAACAAGAAGAGTTTCCGAAGGAATTCTATGTTAATTTTCACAGATCTTACAGTATTTTTTTAGCATAAGTACATAAAATAAATAAAATATATAACTCACTATATAACTTTAGTTGTTAGAGTATTAGTCTTTAGGTAGCTTCAGATGGTATCATACTCCTTTGATGAGCAGGAAAGACTTCCTTTTTTGTTTATTGTTATAGTTTAAATGAAGTTTACATTTCAAGTTAGTTTCCCATACAAAAATTTATACATACATTGTTATGTGACCCTAATTGC